TTTTTTGAGTGTCCGTACCATTTTAGTTGATTGTATAATTTTAATGAAAATTGATCCAAACTTTATTTTGTTCTTGTGGTTTAATTTGACATGTCGAGTGTACTCTCTTTGGATTTTTAATATACCTAGTACAACATCCTTGTATTATACCGGTATTTGTTAAAAAATTATTTTTAAATTTTTAAAATTAATGATAAAATTGTTTTAATATACCTAGTACAACATCCTATTTTTTTTAAATGTCATTCTAGTTTTATCAACTATCTGCTAAATAAATGTCGTTTTGGATCTTTTGTACATATTTTTCCATTATTACCCTCATTCAGCTAATAAATACATCACATCTTTTCATAATCACTCTTCATTTTTTTTCTCAAAACATTCATCTCTATCTTTATTAAATAAGGTTATTATTGACAAAAATAATATTCTTAATAGATGTGCAGCATCCCAAAACGACATATATTTAAAATAGGAGGTAGTATATTGTTACATATTTTAGAATGACACTTATTACTTGTGCATTTACATATGTGATATTATAATTAATTTTCTAACTTATATTATATAACTACTTTAAACATAAATATATTAATTGATAAAGCCTTATTTTCTAATTAACATTAAAAATAACTTTATTATTGTTATAAAGATAAATATATTTTTTTATACATACATTATGGATGCCAAATCGAAACTCATCAAAAGATGATTAATTTTGATATATTATATATGTAAAATGATAAAAAAATACAAAAGTTATTAACTTTTACAATACATTTATAATTCAATGGTTAAAATAAAAATGATATTACAATGCAATTAATACATGTAACATGACCATAAATAATTATAATATTTATATTTATGTATAATTCGAACTTAGTTATTTTTGAATTGAGAGTAAATTAAAATTTAGCCAAGCCAAATAATAAATCATGTAATTTTGCCACAAAAAAATATGAGGCTTACAAAAAATTTAATCAAATTTTTATTGCCCATAGAATCCCAATGTGAACAGATAACGATGGCTTTAGATTTTGACTCTAATTTTATTTTTATTTTTTTTTTTTTTTTTT